CTTTGAATAGGCTTATTTAGCATTTTCAGGTTGTTTTATAATTTTTAAAAAAATCGGCTATTTGAGTTTAATTAGTATTTCATTAATTTATTTTTCTTTTGCTATATAAAATAAAGTCTTCTTGAACTTTATTATATTCACGTAATAATACCAGGGTCGATAGGTAAATATACATATTTTTTTTCATATAGCGAGCCAATCGAAAACTGCCAACCCTGCCAATGGCAAGGAGAAAACAATTCCAATAACAAGTACGTAAATTTGTAGAATTAAACGATTAGATTTTTTTGAGTATATTTTTATTGATTTTAGTTTTCTACGTTCTTACTCAATCGCGTTAAAGTTTCTGTATGCTATTGAAGTTGATTTGTGCACGAATAATCTGCTTATAAAGGGGAATGGGTAGGAATTAACGCAAAGATTATTGAACGTAAGGTTATAAGTGAAAGTGCGAAAAGTTCTTCGATTTTCTACTCATGCATGAGTTCTACTGTTGACCACCTACTGTTGCTGTTGCATCGTGGTTGCACACGCTCCTCGCGTTTCACAAAAAAAATTGTGTATATAACACAGTCATATTAACACAAAATTATACTTGCATATAATATACTGTAACCACGCATGCATTTGCACTTCATAAGAAACTTCGATACAAATTAAATCATTGACTAATAATCTTTGGCTAATGCTCAACAAACAATGTAACACTCATATCTCTATAGTCCTAATTGTCATATAAATGTCGTTTTAGAAGACAGACAAACCCGGCGTCCGTGGACTGCATCAGAGAGGAAGGCCGTCAACAATTCTCTCGGAAACTTTCTTAGGAAAGGAAGAGTACCTGGAAAAAAAGATTGTCTGAGATGTAAGGCAAATTCGAAAGGAGCCTTGGATAGTAGAGAATGGGAAGCAATAAAGTATTACGTAAACAACAAAGTGGCGAATAGAAGAAAGGCCATGCAAGCTGCAGTAAAGTAGTACGTATACAGGGTGTCCCAGAAGATTCAACTTTTTATGCTAGATTGGAAAATTAACGTATCAAGTCAACACATTCATATTTGACTGATCACAATAACCAACCATTTGCTTTCTAGAATCGAAATTAAGCTAGAAGTATTTTAGTACTTTGAGAAGGAATATTTGAAAAGAATCATCAAAGTCTAGCCTTAAACGAATTATTATTTTCTGCATCATCAATATTAAATTTCTTTTCATGTAGAAATAAATAAATACTGGCAAAAATGAGCCAGAGATTCACAAACCCAGACAGGGAGATGTGCCTAAAATTTGCTGTTTGCATAATTTACCCAAAATACCAAATTCACACCATTTTTAATTTCCTGCCCGGGCTACTCCATTATGTTAATTGATCTTTACGTTAAACAAAATTTTGATGTTATCAATGACAAATCGTCAATTTACGAGTTAAGATAGATTCCCGTTTTCTTTATAAAAATCAATTGTAAAATATTAAGATACCTTCAGGTTATTTTCCATAACTTGGACGAATTCTAATACTGGTGTCGCCACCTTAAGTGATTCTAGAAGGCAAATGGTTGATTATTTGACCAACCAAGTATATATGGATTGGCAGGATATGTTAGTTATTAAATTTATTATAAAAATGTGAATCTTCTATTAAAGCTTACGTAGTAATACCACAAAATATAGTGTGGGGGGGGGGGCATTCTTTTTGGGACACCCTGTACAACATATACTTACAGTACTGAATTCTTCTGGGATGCTTGCCTGTGTTCCAGTCCACTAAACCGTTGTGGACTGGAACACAGGCTACTGGAATTAATGCCTGCTCTTGTAAAAAGGAAAAGAGAAAAATTGCTGACCCATCAATTTGAGCGGTTTGAATTCACAAGTTATGTGCTTCCTTTTTACCTGAATAAGATGTTAAAAGTACTACATTGTTGATGCCAACCTCATTGACGTAGCCGGAGGGGGCACCCGGGGGTTCCGGTCCCCTGGAAAAATTTATATGCAATTTTTCTTATTCTTATTACTGATAGCAGTTTATCTGTCAACGTGGCGACTGAACATGAGCACGCTGCTAAGTGCACGCGCACGCTAAGCACACTGCGCAAACATTAAATCTACAATTTTATCAGATTCAAATTATAAAATAAGTAAAATTTTATAATTTGAATGAAAGGTTAACTCGTTATACCTAATTATAGTACATTTTTACATAGGAGGGCTGGTTTCTTGGCGCCTCTCAAATGAAAAACAATGTGTTTCCAAAGCGCTTTAAGTTTGTACCGAAAATCTGCTGACAAAACGAGCCTCCGCGCACATGAGATAATGAGTTGGGGACTTTTAGCGGACCACATATCTTACAGTGGTTTGTTGAAAAATGGCTTGCTCCGAATGTAGTATATCCAATAACCGGGTTGGTATTATCAGCGTTAGCAAAGACAAAAATACTGCAGGAAAACGGAACATAGACATTTTCTACTTTCAAATATAATACACACTAAGACATATATTTTTATGACTTTCATGCGCCCTTCATCCGCGTATACAGACTGAGCTGCAATTCCAACATGCAACGGGTCTATTCACAACCACAATTGCATTGATTACAGCGTATAGGTAGGGAATAGCGTAGGAATCATAAACAATAACACTACAGCGCATGAGCATCGAGAATAAAACATGTGAACGCATTTCAAGTTAGCAAAAGGAGGGTAAATTTAAGTCTCGCATGAATAAAATCGTGCTCTATCTCATTGGGTATATCTAATTAAACTCCTTATCAACAGGAGCCTGCATGATTTCATTATGCGAGTCTTAAATTTACCCTAATATTTTCTCCATTTGACTGAGCTATGATCTTTATGGGGAACAGCTCGAAAATTCTAAAAAATCTAGACCACATATAGTATTAAAGCAATCTTTTAATACCACAGCTGGAATATGAGGCTGCTCGTTTCAAGATCGACCATTTGATTGTAAAATTCCGTTGTTTTTCTTGAGATTCCATACGTATTTGGAGAGCTTTGTATTATTTCTGTATATCACATTGCTGAATGAATTAGTGTGGTTATTAAACCGTACGGGACCTACTTCAAGCCACAGGACAAGGGCATCGTCAATTGCAGTTGTTCGAAAAACGCAATATGCCCACTTCAGAAACAATGCATGACTAAGGACATAGTATACAAAGCAACAGTCACAACAAGCAACCCTAGCACGATCATGAATTATATTGGCACGACTGCAACTACATTTAAAGAGTGTTTGGCTAAACATAACTATTCTTTCGAGCATAAAGAGCACTCAAACAAAACTGAACTTTCGAAATATACCTGATTAGGAGCCGACCATTTAACTTCGGGTGATTTACTGCTGGCAGGGAATTTTTTTCTGGGATCGTTATGTGCAAGATTTTTTTTTATCCCATGTACGATTTTTTTTGCCACACTTTCTTCCGCAGCATTTTTTTTCAATAGCTTGTACTATTTAGATTATTTAATTATAGTTAACATTGAGTTTTCCGCTTCAGGCATTGCTCTTAATAAGTATAGGTTATTTTGAGGCAACAAGGGGATATGTGATGTATTCACCGAGGTGCACAGCACCGAGGTGAATAAACACATATCCCCGAGGTGCCTCAAAATAACGAACTTATTTTTCACACTGCGAGGTCGCGTTAACGAGTCAGAAAAGAAATAATTCTTAATGCCATATTGCCTTCGCGATGTTGTTTTTTCTCATTTTTTGTGCTGTAAAGACATTGCAGGTGAATATTAGAGGGAATTATTAAACGGAAATTGATTGGAGGGGAATATTGAATATATTCCCCGACAAGAACAAAGGAAACCGAGCAGGGTGAAAAATAATACATATTGCTATGAGGTATAACATTTGGTTCAGGGTCTTTTTTGAGGATGTGTAACTGGAGAGGAAATAATTAGCGGGGGATGGCTTATAAGTTGTCATTACTCAGTGAATGCGCGTATACATGAAACTGTTTTTACAGTTTCAATATTAGTTTGTAAATCTCTGAATGGTGAAACTTGCCAATACTCCAATAATATGTTTCAAAAAAAGACAAAAAAGCTTTAGTTTTGCAGAATTAAATTCTCAAATGTGTAAGGCACTAATAAGATGAAAGTATCACGAAATTATTTGAATAAACCACATCGCATATATTGGGGGCGAATGTCCTAAAGAGGGGCGATATTCCTAGGGTATTCGCCCCACCCCCCTGGGAGGCGATATCCTAGGATATTCGCCCCCGGGGGCGATATTCCTAGGAATATCCCCATGTTCTGAGGGGGGGCGAATCTCCTGGGAGGGGGGGGCGGGCGATCTTTTTAAAAATTCTATCTTGCTCCCCCAAAATTTGAGTTTGCCCCTCAAATGCCCCCACAAATTTGGAGGCCTGGCGCCGCCACTGCGTTTTAGTATGTCGAAATTTACAATTCGCTTACAATTTATAGTGACAATACAATTTTATAATATTTTCTCTGTTTAACAACTAAAATTTTGTTCTACTATTATTGCCATAATTTTCCGAAAGACCAACGCGATTTTCTGAATATGTTGATTCTAAAGAAGTTGGGGGGTTAACCACCCCCCAATACCCCCCTCCTTGCTACAGCCCTGTCTGTATCACTGCAGCTACCTACAGCATAAATATATATATATATATATATATATATATATGATATTTTTGTAAAAGTTTGTAACTGATCTATTAAAAATCTTCAATAAAAACATACTAAATTTTCGGCTGCCAACTGCAGCCTTCTTCAGAGTATTTTGGCTGTGTTCGATTAGTTCAAGTCCTTTTATGCCTTATCCCGTTACACTCAATTGATTCTAACAATGGTAAATACGAAACCGGAAATTCTATGTGTTCATTGACTGCATTTTTTGGACAAAGCAATGACAGTAAACATGAAGGTATAAAGAAGCGTTGGGTTATTAATACATCCGAACAAAGTTTGACACAGCATGAAATTACTTTGCTCAAAAAAGGCATGAATTTCGCGTTAGCTCCTAAAAGTGTACCCACAAAGGAAATTATCGCTTCAGTGGAGCAAGGTATAAAACATTTACCTAACGACGAAAAGAATGAAGTAAGAGAGAGGGTGTGCGCCGTAGTAAAACATGCTAAATGTCCACAAAATAAAAACCTTTCATGCTTGGAAGAGAAAGCATTAAAAAGTTTACGGGGTAATAAAGCTATTTTGATTACTAAAGCCGACAAAGGAAACGCAGTTGTAGTAATGAACCGCGCTGACTATCAAAACCAAGTTAACGAAATGCTTGAGGACAAAAATATCTATACACACATTACCGATAAACGACGAAATCCGACTTCAAAAACTGAATTAGAACTACAAGATCGTTTACTTAGGTTAAAGGATACAGGACACCTTACTGAAAATCAATATAAAAGTTTAAGACCTTCTGACTCATATCCCGCAGCTTTCTACGGATTACCAAAGATACACAAAATACCTCTCATTGAAAAAGTTGATCATTTCACCGTAGATACCAACGTCAAAATACCTATGAGACCAATTAATAGTTGTATTGGATCCCCTAACTATCAAGTCTCTAAACATTTGGCATCCGTGTTAAAACGAAGGCGATCATGCGGTTAGAAATTCAAAAGATTTGGTTGATTTTGTAATGACCCAAACAGTAGAACCCGATGAACAAATTGTGTCCTTTGATGTTACTTCGCTTTTCACATCAATTCCGGTAGATTTAGCACTAAAAATCGTTAAAGAAGAACTAGAAAATACAGAGATTTGGAAAGAGCACACAAAGTTGACGATAGAACAGATTTACAGTCTTTTGGCTTTTGTCTTAAAAAATAGCTTTTTTGTGTTTAATGGAAATCACTACCATCAGATTTCTGGTTGCGCAATGGGTTCACCAGTAAGTGCGGTTATTGCTGAGCTAGTTATGCAAAGGGTGGAAAAAATTGCTTTGAGAACATCCCCAGTGCCGATACGATGGTGGAAAAGATATGTTGATGACTCAAACACGTGTTTAAAACAAAACGATATAATAGCTTTTCATGATCATTTAAATTCTATAAATCCTTGTATTCAGTTTACCATTGAAACACCGGCAGTAAATGGAGACATGCAAACAATCGCTTTTCTGGATACAGAGATTTGTAAAATTTCTACAGACATTTCGATTAAAGTTTTCCGTAAGAGCACACACACCGACAAATATCTAGATTTTGGCTCACATAGCCCTGTAAGAGACAAGATCGCAGTTGTAAAATCATTATTAGACCGAGCGAGAGTTATTCCATCAAACCAAGTTTTACAGAAGGAGGAAACGGATAGAGTAGCAGAAGTGTTAGAGTTAAATGGATACAAGAAAGCGTTTATTGATAATGTTAGAAATACAAACAAAACACAACAAAATTCTTCTGAATTTGAGATTCGTGGCTCGACGTGCATTCCGTATGTGAAAGGTGTGTTGGAAAAAGTCAAAAGCATCTTAACTCGAGCAGGCGTTCGGACAGCATTCAAGCCGATAGTCACGTTAGAGAATGTATTCAAAAAACCAAAAGAAAGACCACAGGAAATGCGAACAAAAGCTATTGTGTACAAATTCAAATGCGAGTCGTGCTCATTCACTTATGTCGGGGAGTCAAAAAGATGTTGGTGTTCCCGATGGCTTGAACACAAACCAGGCGTAAGAAAAGACTTTTTCAGCTATAAGAGAACATGCTGAACAGACAGGTCATGAAGTCGCTAAAACTGACGTAAATATTTTGGAAAAAGGCATTAAAAACTATGACAAAAGAAGGTTTCTTCAACGATCCCCTCTTTGTTGACAGTCGTTCAAATCATCCACCTTCTATCATAAAGCACATCCCGGAAGCAATTAACAAACGAATCTCCACCTTATCGTCCGACCAAACTTCATTCAACTTATCCGCGCCTTTCTACCAGAACGCACTACGCCGTAGTAATTACAATACAACTTTACAATACTCTGCTGATGAAACTGTAACGATACCCCATCATCAAAAACGAGAAGGCGGAAAAGAAATATTATATGGTTCAACCCTCCCTTCAGCAAGAATGTTAAAACAAACATTGCACGTAACTTCCTTCAACTAATTGACAAGCATTTCCCCAAAACATCTCGCCTCCACAAGATCTTCAATAGAAACAGCCTAAAAGTGAGCTACTCATGCATGAGCAACATCAAGAGCGTTATCTCCAACCGCAATCAACACCTGCTTGGAAAAAGCAACCAGCCAGAAAGTAAAGAAATGTGCAACTGTCATGATAAAAACAAATGTCCGCTTGACAATAAATGTTTATCAACAAGTGTTGTATACAAAGCAGAAATCTCGACATGTGGCGGCGAAGAAACGAAGGAATACATTGGAATGACGGCGGGACGTTCAAGAAGAGGCATGCCAACCATAAAAAATCACTAACTGTTCCTCGGTATTCAGCGGAAACAGAGTTATCAAAGTATGCATGGAAACTCAAGAAAAGCGGGAAGCAATACAACATCAAGTGGAGCATACTAAAGTGTGCCCGTATACGGCTGGTGCAATCTGTGCCTTGAAGAGAAGGTTTGCTTACTGGAAGCTGACAAAAGCAGGATATTGAATAAACGCTCAGAAATATTCGCGAAATGCTGTCATAGAAATAGTTTTAGCGCACGCAAATTTGAACGCACACGAGATGCGTCAGCAAACCGTTAGTTTAGAGCACGTCATTGAATCAACTTCATTCGCCTGAAGATCGCTTTAAAAGAAGCGTGAAACACAGTGTAGCGACAAATATATTTTAAGATTAAAGAATTATATGTGTGTGTGTGTGTGTGTGTGTGTGTGTGTGTGTATGTATGTATGTATGTATATATATGTATGTATATATATGTATGTATATATATGTATGTATATATATGTATGTATGTATATATATGTATGTATATATATATATATATGTATATATATATATATATATATATATATATATATATATATATATATATATATATATATATATATATATATATATATATATATATATATATATAGTCACCAGGGCATCCAGTTGAAGCGCGAACTATTGGCTGTATCTTATATTCTTATTAGGGATAAAATTCCAATAGGAATGCTTGCATTAGGGACCAACAGGAATTATAGAAATCCTAGCTAGCTAAACACATTGATACTAAAAACATAACCACTGAGTATTTTAGCAAAATACAAAACAAGTTTAACTCCAAAGATCGATAACAATATATATCGATGTAGATCGATCTTTGGAGTTACACTTGTTTTGTATTTTGCTATAAAAAACAGAGTAAAAACATATAATAGCAGCAATAGGATTCTATATTCTATATAACATCCTATCAAATTCCTATAGGAAATTCCTATAGGAAATTCCTATAGGAAAATTCCTATAGGAAAATTCCTATAGGAAAATTCCTATAGGAATTCCTATAGGAAATTCCTATAGGAAATCTATTCCTATAGGATCCTATAGGAATTCCTATAGGAAATTCCTATAGGAATTTTATTCCTATAGGATCCTATAGGAATTCCTATAGGAAATTCTCTATTCCTATAGGATCCTATAGGAATTCCTATAGGAAATCTCTATTCCTATAGGATCCTATAGGATTTTTTCGTAAGGGAAATAACTCAGGACAGAGAAATTTTATCAAATATAACAGGAGTTGTAATTGAATGCACTGAGACACCTGTGCAATGTAACCTACCAGGTCAAACATTTCACCCACATGAAGACCAAATACTTGATGTTGGTTGGTAAAGGGGTAGTAAACAAAGTACAACCTGAAACAACACAATTTATTTCTAGCATTTTTTGAGGCCGAAACCTGAGTCACACCCTCCCATCTTTCTCATTAAACCTCCTGCACTGCTCACATTGAAAACTGATCAGCAATGCACATCTCATGTTACTCCTTCCTTCCGGACTGATGACCAAGATAGAATCCCAATCAAACTTCAACTCCCAGGTAAGTTTCGTTTAATTTTGTAATTTTTTGAGGTGTTTTTAACATAGACAATGACAGCCGACTTTTTCAAAGGCAAATTGCGGTGACAAAACTAAACGCTATTCACTTCTGTACTCAAAGCACTGAAAAACCCAGGAACGACTATTGGCTCAATTGTATCATGTTTCTGTTGGGAAAACAACAGTTTTTAGGCAAAATCATTTTGTGTGCCAATGTAGGCTACTATAAAATGGTGAGACATGCATTTTGTAAGCCTGGCTCTAAAAACAATCACTTTTTTTAGTATGAAATAGGCCTTCATAAGGACTAATTGTGTAGAAATGTTATCTGTTACTCAAAGTATTTTATTCTAATATTATATCCAAAGAACAAGCAACAAGAAAGAAAAAACACAATGTATAAGGAAATATCACATAATAAAAATTATTATACAAATAGACCCTGCAATTGTTTAAGATAGTGTACTCATAATAGCACTACCAAAGTTAAATTCATTGTTATCTTTGAAATGGTAAAAACGTTTAAAAGTCTCTTCTTTTGACCACCCAGCTGCATTCAAGATATTGTTAAGGTCAAATTTTTGGGATGCTAAATGAGATGTTGATGCTGCTCTACTGTAATGACTTTTATATTGTGTAGTATCAACACCAGCAGTTGTCATGAAGTTTTTTATCCTGTGCTAGATTGTTTCCATTGAGAGATGGGTTTGTAAGGTTTTATGAAACTGATAAGAATCGCTTCTTGTCACCCCGAATGGGTGAAGTTCGTTTTAAATAATTCTGTAAATATTCCTCATATAGAGGCTGTTGATGAACACAAGGCCTAGATTGTTTTAATTTATCTGCTATTGAAAAAGTGATTTTGGCTCTTCCATTTTCCACATTGTCTACTGATAATTTACTGATTGTTTGCCATCTCTGTCTGTTGAGAAGGGCTAAGAGAAAACCAACTCTTTGACTGAGGTCTTTCATGGATAATAATGATGGTGCTCGCTGATGTCTTTGATAATTGAAAACAGTATTGCAATACCTTGGCAGATATGGTCGTGATTCATATACACCTTTCATAAAGTGTTTAACGATTGGCAGTTGGCCGATGGAGTAGGATTCCCAGGAAAAAAAACCCTGAAAAAAAGAGCACTTCTTTAACTCATTCTCATCCGGTCGAAAAGTAGCAATTTCGAGTGGTGTTGTTTCAAACGCTTATATCTCTCGAATTATACATCGCACGGAAACAGAAATTGCATCGTTCGAAAGAGGAGGACTTCTGCTTTCCAACGATACCAATTTCAATTCCATCCGGAGCTTGGTTAATGATTTACTCGCATAAATTTGCATAAATTATGATATAAAAAAATGTTGCAATTATGCATAAATGTATTTAGCGGTTCAAATTTCAAATATGTCAAAAAATTTATGAATATGACTGAAAGACACGGTTATGATCTACAAGTACCCGAAGTTTCATGCATGTAGCATAAATAGAAATATTTTTATTGAATTTTTAT